GTCCACCATTAATGCCAATCCTATCTATAGAAAGTCTACCGAGTTGTTTTTCCCTACCAACTTCCCCAGAAACAGAAAAGCCTCTATTGTCAAACCAGCTGTCAACTTTTTGCCAAAAATCTTCTGCTGAAACATCTAAATCATTCCCACTTTCTGATAACAATTTGAATTCTTCCTCTACAATGACCTTCTCTCCACAACGTCCCTCACCGTGAACTTCCACCGGAGAGTTGCCAAAAAGAGAACTTGAAGGCTGGCACGCCGATCCCACCTTGATGCACACTTTAAATGATCTTCCATAGGAACCCAGAGAGATCACCTCCGGAACATCAAAACAACTTTCCACCCTTAATAAAATTTTCACCTTTGTGAGGTCTTTTTTCCTAGTGGCTTCATGAATGTCAACAACTATCCCCCATCTCCCTGCTATTTGTTCGAAGAATTGATCATTCCAGCATAACAGAGGGACCCCCACTAGTTCCACCAAACAAAAGGCCATTGGGACAACATCATCATTCAACAAAAGGGCTAATTGATCAAACCATAACTCTAGTTCTTCTTTCCTCTTCAACCAAGTATCCGTCATCTCTTCCGATGAATTAAAGACAATCACACAAGAATTCCACACATGTCCCCATCTGATAATTTGGACTTCGAAACCCTCTTTAAATAGCGCCTTCTTGACTGACTCAATCTGCAATGAGTGTTTAATAATCCCCGTTAATGACCTTTTAACCCAATTGGAACTTTCAGAAGGAATATGCATTTCCAAAGTATTTTTCTTCACTTTCCCCCTATGAATATCATCGGATGAAATCGCCTTATTTCCCATTGCACTTCTGTTTGGCAACAAAGCCTCTTTATAAGACCTAGTATCCCTAAAACAATTGTTTAAAACTTTCGCCTGATTGGAATTGGATGTTCCAGCAATGTTCTGACTGAGGACCTTCTTTGAAGCAACCTTCCTTCCCTCATACGAGGAAGAAGCTCCCTTATATCTTGCAGGACCCACTTAAATCTTTCTCACATCTATCATAACACCATTTAAGACCTCGACTGCCCTCTTCAAACCATCCTCACTCTTAAACTGAACAAAGGCAAAAGTTGAAAATTTGTATTTTGGGTTCCTAGTGACTTTGGGAATGAAAACTCTCTCAATAGATCCATGGACTACGAAAATATCCCTTAATGAACGTCGGGACACCCTCCTACTAAGATTGTCGATGAACACCATCCAGTTCTCATCGGAGACCGACTTTCCTTTGAGACTCTCCCTCTCTACGTTTTGCTCTCTCTCTCTCTCCCTCAGCTTCAGGTTGGATTTCTTGTTAGCTTCAATATTATTTATGACTTCAAATTCTTAAGTTTATGATTCTTATTTTCATTTTTCTGTAGTTTGAGGCAGCCTGGGCTAATATTGCTTCCGGGACATCTGAGAACACAAAGGTGATAATTGATCATGGGGCTGTTCCTATATTTCTGAAATTGCTTTCTTCACCAAGTGATGATATTCGTGAGCAGGTAAGTACATGAAAGCCATTTTGATTATTGACAGAATAAAGAGGTGTGACAAATTGAACTTTACTCGGCTAAAGCTAGTGTGAAATATTATATATAATCTTAATTCTATTTTTGAACTGAATATTCAGGCTGTGTGGGCATTGGGAAATGTTGCTGGAGATTCTCCTAGATGTCGTGATCTGGTTCTTAGTCATGGTGCTTTCCTTCCTCTGTTGGCACAATTAAATGAACATGCTAAACTTTCTATGCTGAGAAATGCTACATGGACGCTCTCAAATTTTTGTCGGGGAAAGCCCCAGCCTCCCTTTGATCTGTTTTGACCCTCTTTACCTTATTTTCTCGAGCAATTGTTGTTGGTTTAACAAGGATTCCCAAGTTTGTTCATTTTCATGACTATTGATTTACTGTGAAAATCATTGTCCTTTGTCTTCCTTTGAAATCTGAGATAGTGTATGGCAATCAGTTTGGGTTTGAATTTATCTTATTACTTTATCCTTCATTTGTTGTTCAGGTCAAACCTGCACTTTCTGCATTGGCACTCATTTGTTCAAATGATGAAGAAGTCTTAACTGATGCATGTTGGTCTCTCTCGTATCTTTCTGATGGTACAAATGACAAAATCCAAGCTGTTATAGAAGCCAATGTTTGTGGGCGTCTAGTGGAGCTTTTGATGTGAGTTAGACTATTTGCTGCTGATTAAATCTCTGAATCCTTTTATCTTTGATTTATTTGTATTGTTTGGTTGACCAAAATCTAAAATTCTAAGGTTGTCACATGAAGCCATCTCCTTCTTTGCTTATTCCTGCTCTTCGCACAGTTGGAAATATTGTCACAGGAGATGATACACAAACCCAGGTATTAGCCACTTCCGAGGTTTTCTTCTTTTAAAGATGTTGCTAGGAGTATAGGTTTCTTGCAATTTAGTTTTCTCACTCAAACCACAGTGATTGCCGTCCTCTTACATTGTAAACATGATACAAGAATTTTGTGGGTCTAGTTGTTAAAGGTTGTATTTTTGCTTATATGGTATATCCAACTTTTCTTTTCTTATTTTGGGAAAATGTTTTTGGCGTACAGTATTATCAATCATCAAGCATTGCCGTGCCTTTTAACTCTCTTGACAAATAATTTTAAAAAGAGCATCTAGAAGGAAGCCTGTTGGACAATCTCAAATATCACAGCTGGAAATAAGGAACAGATACAGGTATAAATTGGAACTGTTATCACTTTCTTGTTGCCTTTTGATATTTAACTTGGGTTTTATTAGTTTTGGATATGTGATGCTGAGAATTTTACAGGCTGTGATTGAAGCTAATATCATAGCTCCACTGGTTCATCTGCTTCAAAATGCCGAATTTGATATCAAGAAAGAAGCGGCATGGGCCATCTCAATTCTCAAATGCCACATCCGGTGGTACTCATGATCAGATCAAGTATGAAAACTATTGCCATATGTTTTATTAGATTATTAAATGATAAGCTAGTTCTAATCTGGGCAAGTCGCATATTTCAGATTCCTTGTAAGTCAAGGTTGTATCAAGCCATTGTGTGATCTTCTCAACTGCCCTGATCCAAGGATAGTTACAGTTTGTTTAGAAGGGCTTGAAAACATTTTGAAGGTTGGAGAAGCTGATAAGAACCTGGGCAGTACTGGAGGAGTGAATGTCTATGCACAGATGATTGATGATGCAGAGGGTCTAGAGAAAATTGAGAATTTACAGTCCCATGACAACACTGAGATTTATGAAAAGGCCGTGAAAATTCTCGAGACATATTGGTTGGAGGAGGAGGAGGAGACACTGTTGCCAGCTGATGCCTCTCAAACAGGGTTTCGTTTTGGAGGGGTTGAGCTTCCAGTTCCTTCAGGGGGTTTCAATTTCAGTTAGAGGTATGTGGTATTTTGCTATTTGCATGCATCTGTATCTTTTCTGCTACCATTTTATGTTGCTTTCGATGGGGGTATTCAGTTGTCTGATTCTGCATATCTACCATTCGAGTAAAAGCTCTTTCGAGTTTTACAAGGTGTTTATGTTTCAGGAATTTCATCTGGTCATGTATTGAAGCCCTTATGAAGATCCAGGTGAGGCGTCTTGTCTTTGGCTATTGTGTCCCTGGTCATGTATGGTCGAGAGTCCAGTGTCGAGGGCATTAGGCTGGCATAGGTTAACGACACAGTCGGGTTTAGATGAACGGACGGTCGGGGTGGTCGGAAAACATCGAGTTTAAGTTCGATGGTCTTTTCGATGTTGGATATGCAACAAAACAACATAAAACAAATGAAAATGGTTTGAACCGCTTACCCAATAGTTGAAGACGAAGGCATCACGGTGAAAGGGTAAATCGATTGGGTTTTGGTCGAAAAGATGAGAGGACTTCAGCGGTGAGACGAACGGACGACTGGGGTGGCTGAAAATCAATGAAAACCTATGGGAACCTTTGGTTTCGCAACGAACCTTTGACAGTTTCTCTACGACGACGACGATGAGTTTTGACAATCGGCCACCAGGTTTTTGGTCGCGGTGGCCTAATGTTCACACATGTACTGGCGGTGACAGTCACTGTCCAATGGAGACTAAGATCAACGATGGGTCATCGAACGATTTCCTATGATTTTACGATGAATGGCGGGTTTTTCATCAATGGTGAAGGGTAGGGCTTCGATCGGGAGGCGACGTCGGTGTTGTTGGAAGTGGTAATGCGAGCCACGATTAATTGGAGATGGGTTCGACGATGAGGGTAGCGGTGGACGATCGTTGATGATTAGAAGTTTAACGAAAGAGTGAGCAAATTGAAAATTTCGAAAGTACGATGAGTAAAATAGGAATCGTATGAAAGTTAGTTATCAAATTTGCAATTTACCTTTTATTTTTTTGACCTGGAAAAACATCCGTGGTTTTTAATGATTAAAAAAAATATTTCTCTAAGTCATGTCATAACGGTGTGAGAAGTTTAATGATAGATTGATAAAAAAAAACTCAATCTATAAAGTTATGTGAACAAATTGAAAATTTTAAAAGTAAAGAGTAAAATAGGAATCATATGAAAGTTAAGTTATCAAATTTGTCATTTACCCTAAAATTAAAAACCCAAGACCCTGAAACAAAATAATATTGACAGCTGCGCACCTCAAAATTACCCTCCCTGCTTTGTTGCCACGTGGACTGAAACATCCTAAAATTTTTTGGCGGGTGTTGCTCTAGTATTTTTCATTTTTCAGTGCAAAGGAGGCGGCAATTTGCTGTTAGTAAGGTCATTATCGTCTTTTCGATATCGTCTGTCTAGGTTTTTTTTTTCTGTCTACCCCTGTCGGCTCTCTTCTACTCTCCCGCTGTCTCTCTTTTCATTTTTAATTATTGATTTTTATCTCTCTCATTTTCATCACTAGAGCTTCTCTCTTTTATTTTGGCTGCTTGGGTTTCGATTTCTAAATTCCTCTTTGGTCTGCTGCTGGTTAATGTAAAGATATATTTGAATATAGTTGCTTCATGGGTGTAATGGATCTGAGAGCAAAGGTCGGTGAAAAAACCACCTTCATTTCAAAGGGTGCTTCTTTCCTAAATGCTCTGATTTGGTTGGTGTTTGTGATTCAGGAATCATTGGATGCAATGAAGAAGTTTTGTACTGATTGCAAAACCACAAAGACCCCTCTTTGGAGAGGCGGCCCGGCTGGCCCCAAGGTAGTATTTACTAATCATTTCAACTTCTTTTAACATCATTTACTGTAACTATAAATCTTTGAGTTTGCAAGCTCCTTAGAGCAGGAGTAGGGGTCTTGGTATAAATGGGATGAATCTTAAAGTAGTATTCTTCTTTGGCTGATAATCAATCAATCATCACCTTTGTGTTAATTTGCTTTGCTTAAGATATTTTTTATGAACTTTTTCAATTGTTCGCCGGTAAGTTTCAAGCGTTGTTGGCATATGATTGATGGGGTTTTTGTTTTTGGGTATTTTCAGTCACTATGCAATGCATGTGGGATAAAATATAGGAAGAAGAGAAGAGCAATTTTGGGTTTGAACAAAAGTTTAGAGAATAAGAAAGTGAAATGGCGTTCATCATCTCCATCTCCATCGTCGTCCTCATCCAGCACCATCACAACAAGCTCTCCTATTCTCACAAGTGATATTGATGTTGATGACATGAAGCCCAGTGGCCTATTCAATGGGTTGGGGGAGCCATTGGAGATGGGATTAATTGCATTGAGCAGCCAAGTTTTGTTGCGAAGTTCATCATTAACGTGGATGGTAAAGAAGCAAAGGTGTCAAAGGAGAAGGAAGTTTGGAGAGGAAGAAGAAAATGCTGCAGTTTCTTTAATGGCTTTGTCCTACGGCTTAGTTTTTGCTTGATAAAATTTGAGACATTCATTTGTCAAAAACCAAAACAAAACCCTAATCCATGTATTCCTTCTTTGGTAAAGTACGCAACCAGTCACTAAATTATATTAAAAATAATCTTTTTGATCACTTAAGTTTTAAAACTATTAAAATTATCGTTAGACTTATTAAATTATTATTAAATGATCATTGTACATTATGAAATAGTTATAGATTTCAACAAGTTTAAGATTATTTTTGTAACATTTTGATAAATTTCAATGGTCATTTTGTATTAATTTGGTAAAGTATAATAATTATTTTATAATAGTTTGATAAATTTAATAATTTTTTTTGTAATCTTTAAATTTTGAATGATAAAACGATGATTTTAATATAAACTAACAATTATGTGTACTTTACCCTTGTTTTTCTTTTAACACCATAGTTATTGACTGAAGTTTTGTGTTTTCCTTTTTGGAAGAGCTGAGGGGAATAAGATGAAAAAGAGTGGAAGAGGAGTGATGGGATGATGATGGTGCAAATTGTAGTTTCAGAATTAGTCGACAATGATCAAAGGCTATGATATAAGTTTTAAAACTTTGGTGACTAAAATGTAAGTGTTCTAAAAGTTCAGAGGCACAATGGCGTAGTTTAACCAAATAAAAAATGTAAAGGCTAGAGAAATGTAAATATAAAGGCAAAGACTGGATAACTTTATTTTCCTCTTTCGACGAAATCCACTCTCGAAGAGGAACAGCAACAGGCAGCTCTTATTCCTTTATTGTGTTTCATCAAACCCCAAAGCCCTCTTTTGTTTTATTGGGTTGAAATTTTAATTGAGAAAGAGGGTGGTTTAGAAATGGATGCTGATTCATGGACTGCTCGTCTTTCTTCAGCATCTAAGAGGTATCAATCGGCTCTTCAATTACGATCTGGTAAGCTTTCAAAATCCAATCTCTTTTTTTTTTGAAATTTTGTTTTGGAGCTAAATACTTCAATATTTACATTTTTTTTCTCTGCGTGAAAATGAAGTAGCTTAACTTAACTGATTACAAGAAGAAGTTTTGCCTTTTTTAGTAGGAAATGGTTTAATGTGTGGAGATGGGTTGAAATTGCAGATATGATTATGGGGTTTGAAGAAATAGATGGAGAAGATGAAATAAGAGAGGAGTTTCGATGCCCCTTCTGCTCAGAGTATTTCGAAATCGTTGGCTTGTGCTGTCACATTGATGATGAGCATCCGGTAGAAGCCAAAAATGGGGTAACTCTTTTTATTTTATTTTTCATCAATTTCGTAATACCCTGTTTATGTACTCGTAATCGGTATTTGTTCAAAGTAGCATAGCTCACTTAACTGAGTTGATTTTTGAATCCGTAATTAATTAGCTGGTTAAAGGGAATTAAAAAAGGTTTTGCTTGTAATGGACCCATGTTTCAAATTTTAATCTTTCTGGACCCAAGCTGCAATTTCGCATATATTTTACTTAATTAAGTCTTGTGGTAGTTAGAAACTTAGAATTTATGAGTTATGACTTACGAGGTTGAAAATTTGGATGAACTTAAGTTCAGCTAACTAGAAAAAATGCGCTCAAGTGTTGATTTTGATGATTCAGTGGGTATTATACTGTTCCCGACAATGAGAAATGGTTTATTGATTTGAAATATGTAAGCATCAAGAAATGGAGTTTAATAGTTATTGTTTATCTAATGAGGAAAGGGTTTTTTGTTGAATCTAAACTCTGTTTGTGATGATTGTTATTGTTTTCAGGTTTGTCCAGTCTGTGCAGTGAGGGTGGGTGTCGATTTGGTTGCGCATATGACCCTAAAACATGGAAATATATTTAAGATATCCTTATCTCTTGCGTTATTATTTATATGAATCGTCTTTTTAATTTCCTCTTTAAACTGTATAGAATAAGTTCTTTCTTTTCAAGCTCGACATGCAACTTGAGTGTTATTCCATTCTACTGAATTTGTAACTTCGATCGTTGTTTCTCGATTTTACCTGCAAAATATTTTCGTCTTTGTTCCTTGTTTTGACTTCTGGGAGCCTGGGATTCAAAACCATTTAAGTTGGTACTCGAAATGACTTCCCTATCCGTTACTAGCGTTGTTTGTTGAGCTTCCTTATATCACTGTTACATCATTGTATAAGGTCTTGTCTGAAAACACTGCCATTTCCTTAACGATTGAGTACATGCAGCGCAGGAGGAAATCACGTAAAGGTGGATCTCACTCGACACTTTCTCTTCTGAGGAAAGAGCTACGAGAAGGAAATCTGCAGTCCCTCTTTGGGAGTTCTTATATGGTGTCTTCTTCCAATTCAGCACCTGATCCGTTGTTGTCTTCATTTATTTTACCCATGGTTGATGAGTTTGTTAGTGCCCAGCCTCATTGTTCTCGCGAAACTAGAACTAAGAAAAGTTCAGACGCGAGTAAGTCTGAAAGGTAAGTTTCACTGCGTTTTAAGATCTGATCGCTCATCCTCTCTTGTGTTTGATGTAGGTGATTCAGATGTGCATGGTCTTTTATCTGTTTATTTACCGGGTAGATAAAATAATGGATCTTGTCATAGACTTCTTTTCCCTTATTGTAACACAAAAACATAGCGAATTAGACTCGGTCGTGAGACGGAAATGCGACCTGATGCCATTTTTCGAGAATGGGGGTGGGATTCGTTTTGGTCGTTTCGGTTTTTGCTTGTTTATTTAGGTAGTCCACATTTGGCGTTTAGTATTAAAGACCTTATTCAAAGGAAATCTTTGATTATTTGTATTACAAGTTACCAGGTTTCTCATTCTGATATTTGGTTTTGATGACAGAAATGCGAAGTCATCTCCCCTTTCAGTGAAGGATCAGGAAGAGAAGACAAAAAGATGTGAGTTCGTTCAAGGGCTTCTGTTGTCCACAATTCCCAATGATATTTTATAAACCGAACATTCTCGAATTCAAATCGGTTGCTGCGATGCAGTCGTGAACCCTAATCCTCAAGGGACATTGAGTTGAGGACAAAAGCCCCAGCAAGCAAAATCTATGGTTCATTACTCTGTAGGGAAAATGTTGAAATAAAGTTGGTATGAATGAATGTAAGTTTATGATGCAAGTGGACTTTGAGCTTTTAGACCTGAGCATGATTTTATCTTCATCTACGGTTCATTACTCTGTTTGTAGTGAAAATCCAGACATTGCCGGGTCTAAATAACAATCATCTGTTATGGTGAATTGTATGTATAAATCAGCACAAGGAAAAAAATTGGTTTTTCCAAAAAAAAAGTTTCTAAATCCTAACCCAAAAAAATATGAAAAAGATGCATTAACTACATCAAATGCCTAAAGAGCTAAACTTAACCACTGTCTGGATCTTGTATCCATGATTCTCTTCACTACATCTTTTACAAAAGAATCGAAACAAGTTCGGCAACAACCTCTCATTAAGTTTGCCTGTTCGGCTACCATTCTTTCAAAGTGTGTACAATTTGAAGGCGGTGGGGCCATGTGAACTTCGCTCCTCCTATGCTCAAGTCCACAACCACAAGCAGCCAATATGGTGTGCACGGAGTTTGTTGCTATGTCTGTGAAAGCACCTTTGTCTGCACGTATACACATATAAGAGGCAGTTAGAAAGTTTCCAAAATCATTAGGTAGAACTCGATTAATCACTATTACACTTGCCTAAATCGGTATTATTGGACAAGGCTTTCAATTGGTTTCTAACCATTACTTGCAATTGTTCCTTGGCCATGAAGGAATTGTCCTCGTTTATGACGGAAAAAGGTGAACCATAAACATCGGGGCTGATGTTTGAGCCATTGCCGCACTGATAGAGTTGCTCATTTGAACTGATACCAGCAAGTTCAGGCCACAATATCAAATTGACATAAGTATTTAATGTTGTGGTGGTTGAATCATGAACTGCTTGCCTTCTCAAATCACCTGACCTCGGAGAAAAGAAGTTCCTACTTTGCAATGATGAACAGGGATCATCCTGTAACCCTTCTGCAAATACCATTTGATGCTGAGTTCCCATATGTTGTGTCCTAGCTTGTTGAATTGCTGTTTGCCTACTCTGATCGATGTGAGAGTTTATGAAATCAACGCCAATATTGGCAGTTGATTCCCCATTGAACCTACCGTCCATAAGATTCATCCTGTTCATGGAACGGAGATTTTGAATCTGGCGGTGTAATCATCGTCTTCCCGTCAGAGTTTGAGCTCCCACTCCAGATACAGGAGAAACAGATGGAATATCTACAACAGGAAATCTAGGAGATGAAAGACAAGCGAAACCTGTACGAGGTGAAGGTACTCTAATGGGGTCTAAACTTTCTCCTCGATTTACAATGGTTGACAATCGATTGTACAGATTGTTTATTGTCCTTTGGCCCAGAAAGGAATCTTGAACATGGGAACTAGAAGACCCAAGAGCAACGGGTCTGCAACCACCACAGTACCAATTGCCTTCAGGTACTTCCCGCCCGAGACCAACACAATAGGTGTGAGCTGATGAATCACAAATGTCACACAGTAACATGAGTTCATCATCTCCACCTTGGCTGCATTCAGAACAAATCACATTCTCATATGGATCGAGATAGCTTCTTAGTTCTTCCTCAGATGGTTGGTAGACCTGGACAAAACATGAATGCTCATTTGAAACTATATAGAGCAAGGATAATGAAAACCGTAACATCAAAACTATTGTGAGGATAACTATAAGTACTTGATCACGCTTGGGAATTTGAATCACCACATCTCCCAAACCAACTCCTGCTGTTGATCTGGCAGGCTTACTGATTGTTTCAAACCTTTGCTTGCACAAAGGACAACGAGACTCCACCTTTGACCACTCCATAATGCAGGTAAAACAAAAATAATGACTGCAACAATTCAGTTTGCTTTTCAATCTTCGCTTATCTTCCTCGGAGAGACAAATGCCACAGACCTGCTTTATTACCTCAGCCTTTCTTTCCTCTACCTTCTCCTTACCCTTTCTTCCTGGAGGTTTCTTACGTTGGGCTAACTCCTCAACCTCCGGAATTGTCTTCGAGGACGATGAACTCCTCAGACTAGTTTTTATACTTCCACACAATCGGTTGGCCTCTTTCATTTGTTCTCTCTCTTCCTCTGAGATTGTATACTCATAATCAGATGATCCAGATGAAACAAAATCTGAATCAGAACATATAGTATATGCCTTCCTCCTCTGTCCTCCATTTTTTCTGCTCTTTTTCCCCACAATCGGAGCTTTGTCAATAAAATCACAATCATCGTCGTCTTCTTGCTCAATTTTCCTTTTCTTTTCCAATTGACGTTTTTTTCTTCCCCCTTTTTTCAAAGGCTTCTTAGCAACTGCATTCTTCTTCCTCTTTGTCCTTTGGTTAGAAGCACTCCTTTTCCGCGAACCTCGCTTGCTTACATTCTTATTGTTTTTCTTCTTCTTTTTCATAGTCAACTCCTCCTCATCCAAGGTGAATTCCACATCATCATCTTCCTCTTCTTGCTCCTCCTCCTCATAATCCTCATCGTCATCTTCTTCATCGGATACAGCTTTCTGTTTTCGCGATTTCTTATCCACTATCTTCCTCATCTTTGCTGAAGACATTGGTCTACCTTTCAACCTGGCAACCTTTCTCACATCTTTCTCTTCCTCCTTGTAATCATCAATGAAACTCCCAAAATACTCTTCCGATGCACACTCATCTAAGGAAGAACAATACTCTTCAGCATCATCCTCGGATTCTTCGTTTTCCGAAACTACGTAATCTTCATCCGAATCATCCGAACCCTCATCTTTCGATCTAACCCTTCTTTTAAAATTGCTTCTATGTCCAACCTTCCCTCCCCGTACCATCTATTCTTGCGTACAAAAACAAAAAGTATCCAACTATTAATCTCTATTACTCAAACCAGAATAAATATCAATCTTCTTTGACTCACGAGAAAACAGTAACCCAAACCGATCAATTTACAAAGATTCTATAATTATTTTGGTTTTCCTTGGCCTTCACTCAAATGCTATTGGAAAATTAAATACAAATCTTCTAAAATCCACCAAGAAACAAAGACTAACGCTTTTATCTATCACATTTATTATAATCGATCTACATCACCATAAAGAACAATTAAAACCCAGATCACAAGCTCAAGTTTCTATTGACAAAATTTATCGAATTTTAGCAAAAACAGAAAAAAAAAAAAAAAGGAACACAAAATTACCGTTACCATTTCTTAAAGATTTAAAATATATTTCTCGAGAAAAAGAGAACGGCTCAGTTACCATTGAAACCAGGATTCCATGAGCGTAACATCAAACAAAATCCAACAAATTGATCAAAACGAAAGCAGCCATAAGATTCTAAACAACCCAGTTTTTCATTTGAATTAAACCCCAGATTAAGTAAGCATTCTAAAATCCATAACAATAAAAACAGAAAAATTTACCTACGAAGAGGAAGACGGAACTGAAAACAAAGAAAAAGAAATGTATTTTCTGTTTGTTTTTTGCAGCGCCTGATAATAATAAGTTTCAGCCGTAGTGGTTTATATACAATGAACTGATTGTTTTTTACTTGTATTTTCTATTATTTATTTAAAACTTTAATTGTATTTTTATTTTATTTTTTAATATCTCCTTTTTAATAATATTTTCTTGTATTTTTAACATTTTATTAAAGTATTAATTTTATTTAAAAACTAAATAAACTTTCAAATATTTTATAAAAATTAATTATAGTTTTAAAAGCATCCAAAAAAGAAATTAAACTTATTGACATGTTATCATTTACATGTAGACAGATAATAAATATCATATCAGAGATTACTACAATCAATTGTAATTTTTATCAGTTATATAATAACATTGACACACTTTATAAAAGTTAAAAATTAAATTTGTGAAATTAAAAATAATATTATTCATTTTAGACGACTACAAAAATATAACAATGAGTTTATGTAAAATAGAAAACGACATAACACTAAATCTGTTTCAGAATTAGATAAAAACAACTTTATATTTAGAAAATAAAATAATTTTCTATTATCATAATTTGTCTGTTTAACCAAAAGCCATGACAAGCTGTCTTGTGTTCCCTCCAATATATGATGATAATTTTATATTCGTATTTCTAATCATTTGTATTAACTAATTGTCCTCGAGTATTATTTTTCCCCTTTTCAGTTCCGTTAAACAAATTGTAAAAGCAGCTTAGACAAAAAGGAATGGAATATTTTCTTTTTACTTTCCTATTTTTATATTATTCATAATTTGTCTGTTTAACCAAGTGTTCTAAAAGTTCAGAAGCCCATTTATTTAATTTACCCTGGATTTATTTGTTTATTGGAAAATCTAGTTGTCTTCCTCTTCCAACCACAACTATAAGTTTTAGACTATAACATTAGGCTATGATAGCCTAAAGAAACCCCAGATAAAAGCTCTTACAACCATTGTGATGATGTTCTAATAAGCTTAAGTGATGGTGTTTCATAGATATAAAAAACGTAATGTATCCTTTTCCCAGCAAGCAGGCAGCACAAACCAAGTTGAGAAACAAAATTCGCCATTATCAACAAGAATCGAAAGGTTCTGCAAAACTATTCCTCACCAGTAGCCTCTCAAAAACTCGGAATCCACCCAAGCCTCTCTCGAGTTTGTCATGTGACCTCCAACCATAAATAAATTTTACGCAAAATTTGAATTTCAGAGAAAGTTGGATCAACCTCGTTGTTGGTTCCTAGATCTTGAAGGCCGCCAGGGTTCTGGTTTGCCAGTATAGCCGGCACAACCCGGACGATTTGAATCTGGAGCTAGGCCCCTGCTACCACCACTGCCAAAATGATCAGAATCTGGCGGAGGACCCCTGCTGCCACTAGTCCAGCGATCAGATTGTGATGGGGGGCCCTGCTTCCAGCAGGCCGTCGATCAGATTCTGATAGTGCAGGCCTGGTCCAGCGATCAGGTTCTGAAGGTGGGACTGAGCTTTCAGTTTTCTCTCAACGGAACCTAGGAACATATTTCCCAGAAGATGGAGCAGGAGCAGCAACTCCAAGCTCAGTAGAGGACTTGACAGGAAGCTCAGAAGGCCTAGAGAGCCCCTCATTTGACTTTCCTAAGAGAGCTTCTCGTCTCAGCCTCTCTTTCTCTTCCAGTTCTAGTTCTCTTTGCCTCTGCTTTTCAGCTATTTCATCCAATTTTGCTCTGCGCTCAGCTTCTTCTTTCCTTCGTCTCTCAGCTTCTGCAAGTTTCAAAGCGCCAATAAGTAAGGTAGATGAGTATATATGTGTTGCTTCATAACTATCCATACACGCTTCCAAAAAAAATCCTATATTAGGAGTAACATTTTGAACGAAAAGGTTTTTGGAATTTAAATAACAAACTGAACTGAGATTGAACAAAATGATTAAATTTCTGAGTTAACATGCGAGACAATTTTATTTTAATTAGAAAAGTAAGTTTATGGATCAAGTGAACCATAATTACCTATAGAAAATATCACCGAGCCTACACAAAAATGGAATACAGTTTCAATGTAAAGTATATGAAATATAGTTAAACATGTATAAATTATACCTTCACGTTTACGAGCTTCCTCCTCTTCACGCAGCTTTCTTTTTCCCTCTTTTCAGATGCTTTTCAGTTTCCAGTAGCAGTGCCTGTGCCTCTTCAAGCTCTCGCTCTTCTATTTCCTTATGGATTCTTTCAGCTCGCTGTTGCTCAAACATAGCAGCAAGTCTCTTTTTTTCGGCTTCTTTATTTTTTTTCTGCAACATCTGCCTCTTCGACTCCTCCTCACGTTCCTAGTGGAACAATACACGTAAAAGAACAGGTCTATGAGTTTAGGAATTCATTTCCAATATTTTCCTAAATAGTGAAACCTCATGTTTTCTCTGCAACTTTCTGTATAAATAGGGATACCATTTCTAATAATTGACGTTCTTGTTCTTCCTTTCTTTTCTCAATAATTGATTTCCTAGCCAGAAGCCTTTTATGTTCCTTATCTACAGTCTCCCCTAAATCTGGTAAAACTTTACTCAGCTTTGACGCTTTCTTGGTAGAAGGGTATATCATGGCTCTTGCTTTATTCAAAGATTCAGCAAGAAGAGTCAGGTGATCACGAAACTTGTCAGATTCAAGACCCTGAAAATGCCAACATAATGAAAAATAAATAAATGTATCCTATGCTATGCAGACACGTTTAAGGAATATGAACAAAGTACATAAATCCCGGCAGTATTAGCCAAAATCCTTACCATACTACCAAATAGTACAACACCCTTCAGGTGGTCAACTTTCAAGGCTATGAATTTATGTTTCACAGCATCAACAGAATTTTTTTCAACCATTGAAAAATCAAAAAAGGGGATAACTTGAGACAATCTTTCAATTTTCATTGTCTGGAAAACCTGAGACACCTGGACAAGCAACAAGAGAGAACTGCATTGAGAAAATCAAGCATAAATAAACAAAGAGGGTATAAAGCAATTGAAAACAAATATAAGAAATAAACATAAGAAACACCTGCTTAAGCAACCTAAGGGTAGCAAGCTTTTCAAGCATTGGAACATAATGAGCGAGCTGAACTTCTGGAACAGATGAAGCTGAAGCCAGCTTTCCACCCAGTTTTGATATTTTCATCAACAGAGGCCGTGTCTTTAATGCTACATCCAGAGAGAGAAACTCATGTTCCAAAAGATGGTAAAGATCTTTCACTTCTAGAGTTGCACAACTAAGTACACCTTTAGAGACCTAAAAATAAGGGGAATAAGAACAGGCAGTTTAGTTAACAACCTGAAGTCAAAAGTTTCTAGTTAGATAAACATAGAACCCACACACCTTCAGTATTCCATAACATTCTAAGAGAGAGGAGACACTCATAAGCCTCACTTACAAACTCGTGCAGATAACAGAAAAAGCAAGTCACTTCATGAATATAAAGATTACGGTCCTCAAACAGATACAGGCACAGAGCAAAGTTTTTAATGTTATAATAAACTATAAATAAAGTAAGAACTATATTTTGCCTTAATCAAGTAGAGTAGAGAAAGTGTTACATGCTAGCAAACCCAACTTATTTGATATTGAAGGCCTTACTGGTTGAGTTCTATCAGACTAAAATTGATTTGAGGAACATCATTATTAAGGCATATAAGAAATCAGCAACATTACCATCCATGCCTTTTAATAAAACCTCCTGAGCAATTTAAACTTTGTAATTCATCAAAAACAACTCTAAAATTAGGACATACCAGTTCTGTAAGAAGTGATGACCTTGAAAACTGTAAAAAGTGAATAATGTCAGAATAGGTTGTCATCAAGAAAAGGAAAATGAAAGCGAATGATATTCTATACAACATACCACTTCTCTATTCTCAAGTTTAGATTCAAGATTAAATCCTATAAGATTTGCCATTCGGAGGTTGCGCTCTTTAGCATTTTCAAGTTCCAAGTGTGATGCACCAAGCATTTGATCATAAGGAGTCACTGACAGAGCAGCCAAAACAACTGATGATGCTATCAACTGCAAATCCTTCTGACCTAAGTTTTTATTAAAGCTTTTTTGAAGTGAAAATAACTTGAACCACGCATAAGCATGATAAAGATGGCTTCCTGAAGTCCGGAATATTTCAGTTAAATTGGCATAATAAACCCCCATCAACGAAGCCTTGGGAGCTTTCTTGACAATAGACATCAATCCATGAATATCTTCAACAGAGCGAAAAGCTTCCTTCAAGAGAATATGACAAGCAACATAATTACTAAGATTTATCCATTACAAAACAGAACACTTATCCATTAAGAACATACAGAAGTTAGACAAAGCGACAACAGACCTGCCAAAGTCCAAGCTCAGTAGCAATTTTTAGCTGCTCAAATCTTGTATCAAGATACAATTGCAAGCTCTCTGATGCAGAAAGGTCAGGTCTGTCCCTCTGGTCTTTATATTTATTTAGATTTGCTAAGTGATTCCTTATGATCTCACATAACCTTCGGAACTCTGTTGTTCGCTTATACTGCTTGCAGAACTGGAATGCCCGATGTGCTGTCATCTAGAGGTATTTGAAAAATAGAAAGATCGTGTCATTCCAGATAAATATGTACAAAAAAGTTACTATTATCAATGAAATAAGACATTCCCAAGTGCACATGAGCACAAAATAAGAGACAAATTCCATTATATGTCCACTGTAAAAGCGTGCATACCAAGTCACCAAAAGCATAATCAAGTTTTGTTGACCACGTTCTCTTTCTAATAATGAATTGTCATATATTCCTTGAAGTATCCTTTCAAGCTTACTGATTCTAATATAAGAAATAACAAACAATTGATTTTACTAAATCATAAATGATCATTGTATGAGCAAATTCAGGTAAATCATAAATGATCACATTGTAGATCACTGAAGGATTAGGTACTCAAATCTGATAAAAGAAGTCATACAAGAACATAGAGGTACAAAATCATAATGCTCCAAACGAGCATTCAGAAATTCATATAGTCAAAAATGGAAGAAATGATTGGAGATTATGGGAAGCTAGAGTACCGCATAGAGCGCTTCCAACTTAGAATTGTTCCGCAATATTTCAAGCACCGTTCTATACGTCTCCCAAAGAAACTTGAACCAAGGAGTAACAAGTTCACGATCAGACCTATCCTTTCCTTTCTCTCCACTGACGTAACTTAGCATCAAGTCTTCTGGCCTTTTATCAGCTTCAAGGTCATCAACATCAAGAGCTTCTTCTAGGGCTTGTGCTTGACTACGAGCCTGCTCAGCTTTCTCAGTAGAAAGATGCATGAAGTGCTTGATAACCTCCTCCAAGGAACTAACATTCACTTGCTGACATACAGTCCGATATTGAATCAAACCGTCTTTGGCAAACCGACCATTCCGCATGTCAACACACAGCTCTACATATTTGAACATTATCTTTTCAAGTGACTTCTGCCAAGCTCTGTGTCTCTTTGAAGTTATTACATTGTGAAGTGCCTGCAATGCATCTTGCTTCTGCCCCACGTTAATCAACTCTGTAAAACCCCATCAGAAAGTCACGCAATCATGTATATCATAATAACCACAGGTCGTGATTCCACAAGCTAGATTCACATTAAAAGCAACAATTGCTATAATATCAAACAAATGGCTGCGTACATTCGCGAAAAGCAGTTACAGAGCTTAATAAAGGAAAATTCATGTTTCTAACCTTCTGCTCGCTTCAATGCATTCTCTGGTTTCGCAAAATGCGCCATGTTTTTCAATCAAATTCTTAACACCGCCAGCTTTTGCCTAAAACAGAAAAAGTCATTTTTATCAATCAATTAAGTTTAGCAAATAAATTAATCGAAAAGTTCAAACCCTGAGTATCTTCAAGATCGGAGAGAAACCAAATACAAAACCAAGCAAAAGAAACAAAAATCTATGTTCATAAAATTCAAAATTGGCAATTTTAAGCCTAAATCTACAAAAAAAAAAAAAGATTAAAAAAAATAAGAAATTGTTTAAGTCGGTTCACCCGTAATAGAAAACCGATCGAAGTGTATAGACATAAAAATGCGATCTTCAAAAATATTAAACAGGAGATTTTCAAATATATAAACATAAACAAGAGATTAAATTTTCGGTATAATATATAAACATAAACAAGAGATTGAATTTTAAGTATACTCGCATGAAAATTGTTAAGAGCAGTGGCGACTCGCCTCGTCTCGCAAGCAGTGGTAAGAAGAAGTTTCTGCAGCTAAACAAGATAATACGGTAAAACCTAAAACGTATAAAAAGAAATTGGATAAGATAATTTTGGATTTCTTTTATAAGAAAAAAAAAAGCGACATCAATGTAATATGCTAATACGTTTGATAAAGATGTCCTACCAGTAAGTTTTTATTCATAAAAAATAAATTTAAAAAATAATCTCCAAAAATTATTTTTTATATATTTATATAATATCGTTTGATAAACATTACTTTGTTTGTTTGTTAATTTTTAAGGAAAAATAATTTATATCTAGTTAAATAAATATGAATACATTCAAAAATATATTAAATTTTCAATTACGTGTTCCACGTGAGTTTTGAAGATAAAAAATAATTTATATCGATATAAATAAATATTAGTATATTATATTTTTTTCTTTCTTCTTAATTTATTTTACATTTAATTATTTAAAAAAGATAACGTCAAGCGATTGTCATTCATATTTTTTTTGAGTAAAGAAGAAACCAGGAACTAGTGTCTAGTGTTGGTCTTCGCTAGAAAGCACTTGCTTGCATTTCTGTTATGAAAACTTCTATTATGAAAACTTCTATTATCTCTCCTGGTGGCGTCGAACAAGTGTGGAGGCCAAAAGAGCTAGACCGAGCTAATTTGCCATTTCATCAACCAATCTATTAATATTCCAGTCACGATCGGTAAGGTTCCGGATAGGGGTGTGAAAAAATATCTGATCCAATCGACTCGATCTGTTGATCCGATCGAAAAATTCAGATATCTTATCCTTTTTTTAATTTTTGAAATATTCAAATAAGATATTAAAAAAAATCAGATAATCGGATCAAATACAGATCTATAAAATTTTAGTTTCAGATTATCTGAAAATCCAAAAAACATTGGGCCTTATGATTTTATCCAGCCCAATAGCCCCAGTACCCAACCCCTTCTGCCCCACCCAGCACCGCCTGTCTCCCACCCCACCTGCCTCACCCTCCAACCCCAGTGCCAGCAAGCATTATTTTTTTAACTTTTAAATTATTTTTTTAAGCCTATAGGTAAGATGTTAAACATTTATTTTAGAATTATTTAAATATATTTTGATAAATATATAGTGGATGTATAAATATGTTGTATAAAGTTATAAAATATTAATTTTAATTTTTATCAAATTAAAGTTTATATTTGGATCGGATACGAATTGAAATTTTAATGACTCGAAATTTTCAAATATCCAAAATTTCGGATTAGATAATATCCAAATCCGAAAATGCACATCCCTAGTTCCGGATATGAGCCGCCATGGATGAGGTCCCTTGTAATCCAGCTCCAACTCCAATGGTAGTCGAGGCATCCTGGCTATCAGATTCAACAATGATCCAGCTTAGTCCCAAATTCCATGCAATATGCAGTCCTTCAAAAATCCCCCACAGCTCGACATCGAGGGTCGACCAGATCCCAATAGATTTTGTGAAGCCTGTTATCCATTCTTCAATTGGATTGCTAACAACACTACCACAAACCACTAGGCCAGCATCAATCTTTCGCGCGCCATCCACGTTAACTTAATCCAGTCAGTATCTGGGGCTTCCACGGCGTCTTCCTGCAAACTGGAGCTGTACAACCAGGTCTTGTTACACGCATGGACCACGTGAGAAATGCTTCTTGCACAAGGCGTTGACTTTTGCCCATTAAGTCGCTATCTGCCACATAACCTGCATCAAAGATAATTTTATTCGACGCCTCCAATACACCAAAGAATTCAGTCAAACACGAGATCCCAGTTGTTAGAGTCAACGGGAAAGCAACTTTGGCGAGTGAGGTTCGTCTCCACGCAAGAAACAAACTCCAGTGTTAATGAACTCCTCAAGAAGGTGGGGTTGAATCAACTTTTGCCACAAAGCTTTCGCTATCCCCCATTCCCGGAAAATATGGGAAATAGAGTCCAGAGCACCTCCGCAAATTGAGCAGCTTGTGTCGGACGCCATATGTCTTTGAACACGTTCCTCATTATAGAGCAACTTTCCTTTACATATAAGCCTAAGAATCATCCGAACTCTCGAGTCCACGATATTTAACTCTATGATTCCACCGAATTTGGTTCTCCATAGTACCATGGGATACACACCGGTTATAAGCACTACAAGTAGTGAATCTTTTTCTACTATCCCATTTCCGAGCTGGAAAATCTGCCCCTGCAGAATCTGAAGGAAGGCAAGTTACAGTAATGGGGAGAAAAACAACATGAGGCAAGAGAATTCTAATGGAGCACCAATTCCGGTTTCCATTTGAATCCACCATATCCCTCACTTTGGCATCAGGATCAGAATCATTCCCATGGATTAATTTCAAATCGTGAAGGGGTCGAGATTAGCAAGCCAAACTTCGTTCCAAAAACTAACCGTCTGACTATTACCAACGGTCCAAGTTCCCTCTCGAACATTATCCCAAATCAGATTCAGCCCAGCCCATAAACGAGAGCATCCCCTTTTTGTAATTGAATGAGGGACGGTTTCGACAACTCTGTATTCGGATTGTAAAATACTAACCCAAACTGGTCCACTTCAGACACAAGTCTAAAGGCAATTTTCATAAGGAATGCTCGATTCTGAGAGTGTAAATTCTTCATACCTAAGCCACCCTCAATTGTAGGCATGCAAATCTCATCCCAACGGACCAGATGCAAGCCTCGTTTTTCATCCGATCCACCCCATATAAAATGATGAATGAGACATTCGATATAATTGCAAACGCCTTTAGAAAGATAACTAGTCTGCATAGCATAAGAAGGAATGGCCGATAACAGATTTAGCCAAAGTTACCCTTCCAGCAAGACAGAAATGTCAAGCTTGCCAACCTGTTAATTTATCGCAGACTTTTTGAACAATGTATTGATAGGTCGCACGAGTATCATGGAAGTGTAACAAAGGGACTCCTAAATATTTCCCAAAATCATCTATACAAGTATATTGAAAACCACCACTGATATCTTCCCAAAGGTGATCGCTAACATTTGTAGAAAAGTAGATGTTGGTCTTGTCAAGGCCAACTTTGTGTCCTGAGTTGTCACAAAAGTCACGGAGGACCTTTTGAATAACATCAAGTTGGTCGAAAGAAGCTTCAGCAAAAAGGATAAGACCATCCGCAAAAAAAAAAAAGATGTGAGAGTTGAAATTCATTCTTAGAGAGCCGAATCGGACGTCAACAACCAGCAGAGACCTCTCGTTGGACAGCTTGCGCAAGCCTCTCCATATAAAGAACAAAAAGATAGGGAGATAACAGGTCACCTTGTCGTACCCCTTTAGAAGGTTGGAATGCATCTATAATACTTCCATTCCAAATAATTTGGGTCGAAACCGAGGAAATACAATTCATAATTAACTTCCGAATACCATCAGGAATTCCTACTTCCGAAAGTGTATCATAACTCTTGTTATTTCTCTCTTATCTAGCTATCTATTTAGGTTATTTCTTTTTATATATTTCAATTTCTATGATATTTTAATTTAATAAGTATCATTTTAATAAAAATGATTAATATTTTAATTTTCATTTAGGGCATCTTTGTCCATGAAGACAATTAACCTTGCAGCTAGTTGAAAACTGGCAGACATAGATCAACTATTCCCAATTGATAAAATGTCATGCTCAAACCTGAACATCCTTCCATAACCATAAGTAAACAATCCAAGTACGTTAATGTGAACAAATACCATGGAAACCTAAAGTATAGCAAAATTTGTTTTGCAACATATGAAAGACATGGCTCGGAAAGAACACTAAAGTCATCTCAAACCCTAAATCCCTTACTGTTCCTTCGTCCTCTGGCCCTCTCAAACTTGCGTCCCTTTGAGCGCACGTACGGCTTAGTGTGGCTGTGAGGCACACCAGGAGCTGGACCAAAGTGTTTAACTGCTTCACGCCCATTCTTCGGACCTCTGAGGAGAACCTGCAATTCCACCCAAAGTAACCCTTAATAAAGCCAGACACAACAAACCCTTCTTTCATAAGGAGAGAAACAAGATGATGGGAAGAAGTAGAATCCAGTTTTAAAGCAACCAACACTATCTGACAACACATTTCATTGAAGATTAAATAAAGCAAATATTTTGATTTGCTGGAAATTACACAGCACGACATAATTCATTTCTAGAATTCTGGTGAAAGGGTATATCGATTTCTGAGTTCGTAAAACAAAAGATGGAGACAAGTTAGAACTTACAATCGTCCTTCAAATGACGAAGGATTATAATCATCATCGCATTGAACAAAGACTTCAAACAAATAAATTAAAAGAATCATATATATACATCAGAGCAACAACATTATATTAACCATGCAAAGAGCAAAGTTTCAGCAACATTAAGTTCTTTAGACATAATTGTTTTCAATCATAGCATGAAAGAGTAAAGTTTCATCATTTTCGATTCCCCAGCAAAAAGACAACGAAGATTAACGAATGTCAGAAGAATAGCATACCGTGTTCTGACCCAAAGGAGCCCTCAAAGCAAGCTGATCGAAAGTTAAGCATTCTCCACCAGCCTTCTCAATCCTAGCTCTAGCAGTCTCAGTAAACCTAAGAGCCGTAACCTTCAAAGCTGGAACCTCATACACCCTTATATCATCTGTCACAGTCCCTACTACCACAGCAATCTTATCCTCCTAAAATATGAATATGGATTAAACCAATTACCAATGACAATATAAGGATCCTAAAGAAAACCCCAGAATTTTTTTTATAATATAAAGAAATAAATACCTTTCCTTTCATGAACTGAACGAGCCTAGAGAGAGATAGTGGCGGCTTGTTAACTTTGCTCATAAACAAGCGTTTCAATATAACGGCGTTGAATTTGCTCCCAGTTCTTCTCACAAGGAAACGATAAAGCTAAAACCCAAAAAAAAAATCAGGTCATTTATTCGGGGGGGGGGGGGGGGAAGAATGAAGACTTTTATGGTAGAAATGAAGAAAAACGTGAGACCTTGACGAGAAGCTTGAGGTAAATATCATCGGATTTGGGAGCAGTCCTTTTAGTCTTCTTGCTCTTAC